AAATCCATGAAGTTAATTGCCAAAAATATTTCTTCATCCATCCGAATCATTAGAGTAAGGTCCAATCACTCCTATGGCATACATGCTTACTTCTAAACTGCTCAGATATCCGTTTTTATTTTACCAACTTGCAAAGTGAGAAAGATTGTAAAGAAAGAAAATATATCTGCAGAGTATATAACTGGACAACAGCAGCAAACAGTAGCTTAGAATCTCTAATAACCACAAGACAACCCAATCCAACATCTGTCTTGCTGAGGTTTTGCATCTCTTGAAACATACTTGAGGAACAACGCATCATCAGCTCTTCCAAACAACATCCAGCCTCTTTTGAAAGGAATATGAAAATGGATCATTACTGGCAGGGTTGGAAGTTTCTTCTGGATGGCGTTTTTTTTCTCCAGGATTTTTCCAGCAGGAAGAAACAGTTTCTTCCAGTTTCTTCTGGAAGAAACTTGGAAGGTCAAATTTACTGGAAAGTTTTGTTTCTTTTGATGAATATTTTTGCCTTAAACAGGCCCAAATCCAGTAACAACCTTGAGCTGGGATTCAATATCTATAAACCAGGGTGGTTTGGGGCATAAATAGCAGGAGAAATTAACTAAGTGCCACTTCAGGCTGGGTGACAAATAAAAAAATCTTGACCTAAATAGCGATTTGATCGTGATGTCACAGGGTTGTATCCATTATGCAAATTCCAATCACTCCAGTGAAACTGTAATATTGTTATTATTGCAATAAGTGCAGTTTTGTTTTTACCCCCAGTCTTTGTTGGGTTACTGAATCTAAGCGTGTAAAGCCTGGTTTTCATGCTCAGAAACCAGGTCGTCTGCGTGTGTCACAGTTAACGAAGATAACGGCCAGTCTTTCGGGAAAACTCAGGGGTGAACTGTGTGTCGTCAAACGTTAGATGAGAGGGTCTCAAACGGCGAAAAAGCTCGTCTAACCGACACATGGACACCCACACTACCTAGCTAGTTTGTGATTATCCCTCTTGCGCTGTGGCGTGGAATAACACACTTGAAATTGGGCATAAATCAAAAGTATCTGCATCATACCTGCGACAAGCTCACTCCGACACACTGCTGGGGGAGTATACACAGCCATTTAGCCTTATGGGGGGAAAAAAAACTGATCTTACGAGTCCGGTGGTTGGAGCCTGTAAGTTTGAAAGTAGATTGATTGGAGCGTTAGTCGTCAATAACAAGGTGTTTGTAATGGGAGTTACAATGGACTAGTGGGATGTATAAAAGCAGGTTTAAGGAGAGATGTGTTGAATTGGTTCTTCTGTCACTGGAACATTTTCAACACAAGAAAAGTATTTGGAAAAAACCTGAGACTATTTTATAGAAGTCATTAAGATCAAAAGAGAATCAATAACAAAGAGGAAACTGGACCAAATCCACTGTCTTCAGAAAACAATCCTATTTCATGGTATGTTAAAATACACATGGGATATAAGTTTCTTTAAAACATTTGTTTCAATAGAAACACATGACTACAAAGAAAAATATACTACTGTGCAATAACTCATGTAGAGGGGTACAGAATACTTAATTTAGACATAAACCATGCCTGCAGGAAGGGACTAAATGTAGGTAGAAATTATCTTTCCTGTTGCTGATTTAGTTAAAATTAACAGTTTCTCTGTTCCTTTTTTAAATTTGAAAATATGCTTCTGTAATGAAAAATTACTTTAGGGCTTTTTACATATTTTAGCCCTAGTATCAACAACATCATAGAAAAAATGAAAACAAGTCAAAGCATTATTTTAATTTTGACAGCCTCATGAAAATATGCTCAGAAATTTAAACAGGTGTATTGAAAGAATAAAATATGAATGGCAAGCAGAGTAAGGTCTGAGCTACACTGGCAAGATAAAAAGCCTATTCTTTCGGAAGAAGAGAATAGGTCAAATTTCCTCACAAGCTTCAGAGCGGAGGTGAGAGCCTGGGACCAAGCCTGCCAAAACATATCTTTGAGAACAAGCGCAAGGGTTTGTGAAAGCTACAGTCCAAGCTACATTGTAAGACATCAAATATTTAGCATTATGGATTACAAGTACAAAGTGAGTGTGTGTTGTTGTCAAGTCACGACAAAAGTAACGACCCTGTTTAATAATTCATTCCTGGGTTCTTACTTTATACTTGAGGTGAACCAGAGTCCACCGCAGATCTGCAGGTAAGAGAGCAGTTTCCGACTTTTACTCAAACCACTGAAGAATGAAAGCAATTATAAAAGCTAATCCTTTCCTTTTGTATTTCAGAGAGTCATTTCTGTAAATCTTATAAAGTAGGTTGAGGGAATTCAAAAACACATGACTGCAGTGACAACCTTAAAACTGTTCCTGACGGCTCTGATTTTGGGTCATATACTAAAGACTTTGTCAATAAAAGATTCCTTATCCGTCTAAGAATATTTAATTTCTATCAAATGCATTCTAAAAGGTTCTATTTAGTTTCCTATGCTGCAAAAATACTTTAACAGTCTTAACTCTTGGAGTTTTTCAGCTCCTTTTGCTTAGATTTTTTGTTTTTCCTAAGAAAAGGCATGCCAAAATGTACCCAGATCCCTTTTATTTTAGTCTTTTTTGGCTGCCTATCTAGCATTATATGGTGCTACAGGTAGTTGCTGATATAACATAGAAAGGATAGAGCAGATGAAGTGAGTGCAGCTTCTTAAAAGCCTTCTGTTTCTTCATCAAGATTGGCCAGAGTTTATTTTTGGAGTCTTGCTAGTGGAGGGTCTGAAAAAAAAAAAAAAACACCTAGCTAAAGGTGTTTTTATGTTGGGTTGGGCAAAATTATTGCTTTTAGGTGTCAGGTACCATCTATGTCATGTTGCCCACAGTTCAGCTGAAGTTCAGAAACAGTTAGGCATGATTCATTTGCTTTTCATTAATTCAAGATATGGTTTGAAGGGAGTCAACTAAGCGCTTCAGCAGTAAACCACAGCATATTCGTGATTAATTCATCCACGTTTTATAGCGCCATCATATTTCAATGTACAACACTTTGCTCTTGGTTCTTTTACCTTTGCCTTTCCATCTAGATTTAAAAAAAAAAAAAACTTTAATGGCAGTAAAATAGCTACATAGTGCTGTTGGTTTGATCAAAGTTGATATTTCTCTAAATGAATAGAAGGAAGCCTTGGTAAGCTTCAAATCTGACACTATAGCTTTGCAGTTGGGAAGATGTTACAAGTGTTAGATGCAAGCTAAATGGCGTGTATGACAAAGAACATCTGTATTTTAATGGCAAGCTGGAGCAAAATGTAAGCATGTGACAGAAGAGCGGTAGTGAGAGCTACAGAGATGACAGCGGAAAAGATCCGAGCATATGTTCAAGTGAACGCTCTGTGCAGCTGGAAGTATCGCCGAGGGAAAGATCCACTTCAAACCCCCAAAAACGGCTCTTCATTCCTCTTCTATCCATGCATCCCACCTTATAAATCACTCTGACATGGTCACATGTCTCGCTCTCTTATTAACTGGAAAATCTATTATATGTACTCAGTTCAAGCCCAAAACACATTCCAGCAAACACACACACATACATAAAATCGATAGCAGACATTTGGCCGTATTGACAATGCCAAGCCAGGTTAACTATATGGGCTTCCTGCAGGCGCCACCTATTAAGCTCTGGATAAGGTAAATGCCAAAGGCTGAACGGGTTAAAGAGTCCAGATTTGTTTTTAATACTATTAATATCCTGTTCTTCTCTCTTTGTGGATCTCCTTTGCACATATAGAGTTTTTTTTTTAATGGCTTTCCGTATCCATCTTTGTAAGGTTAAGTTATTAAATCTGAGGTTTTCCTGGTTTGGTTCAGTTGAAATGACTAAATCATCCCTCTACTGTAGCAAAAGACATCTTTACTCCTATCAAATAAAAAATACAAGTCCAACCCTTCTACACAGTAAATAGGCTAGCATTTAGTTTTTTTCCTAGATTATATCTAATGTTTCCATTATGTGAAGCTAGTGAAGGAGAAGAAATGTCATACTGCTCACCTATCCAACAAGCTGGACCTAGAGTGATGTATGTTATATCATCCATCTAATTCAAAACGCAGCTAATGTTTGTTTCAGATTTTGCAGAATATTAATGTTGTATTAGCATTATTTTATGCTTTTTTTTTTTTTTTTTTTTTTTACCATCTACACCATTTCAGATCAGCCCGATTTCTTAATCTACAATTAATTGATTTGTCAAATTAAGACTGGATTCTCCTGTATAAGATATACTTTAAATCTATGTTCATGTTTTATGAAATCTTTTTATAAATCGCTGTTTGTTCTGTTTTTAAAAGCATCTCCAATCAACTATTGTTTTATTGCCATTTTCTAATTGATGTCAACTTTACCTTAAGAAATAAGGAAATAGTGATTTTTGGAAACTTGATTTTTCTATCAGATGATGTTAACATTGCTGTATTGATGGAGACCAAAACGGAAAGCATCAGAAATTTTTAGCTTTGAGAGGCATGACAGATATGTTTGGTGTGCAGAGGAGGGATAGTAGATGTATGGCACAGAGGATGGTGAATATGAACCTCCCAGGGAGGAGGTAAAGAGCCCACAGAGGGGGTCTGTGGAGGTACTGAACGAGGATATAGAGACAGCGCTAGGACATACTGAGATGGAAGCAGATGACTTGCTGAGGCAATGTGAAGAGGAAAGAAACCAGAAAAGTAGAGGGTTGTAAGCATTTTTCACATGATTAGAAATCAGGATTGGATGCAAGCAAAATATTTTTACTTTAAGACAACTAAAGAAAATGATGGAAAAAAGTTAACCTCTATCAAAAAGGACAAGTTTTTCCTCCCCTCTAATTAAAGACATGTTGCATCATATATTCGTTTTGTTTAAAAAAAAAAAATGGCATCACCCAATGTGGTCGTCAGGGGATTGAAAATTTCAACCAGAGCCAGAAAGGGAGCCTAAGTACGGTAAGAGTGAACCTGCTGCGTGCTGGAGTGATTGTGCATGTGTTCCCACCTGATATGTGTCCCACAGTCTGATGGTGCACCGTAGAGGCAGCTCCCTCATCAGGAGGTTGTTCATCCAGCGGAAGGCGAACTGCAGGTACTCCACCTCGTACTGCTGCATGTGGCGGTGCACAGACTCTGGAAGAAATTACAACACAAACATGATCAAAATTTTATATGAAAGAAAAAAAAAAGTGATACACAAAGGATACAAATGGATTTTTAAGGGGGAAGAAACCTCAAAGTTACACTAGTGTAGATGGCCTTTCAGAGCCCCCTTCTCTATTACAAAACTGCTGTCATCAGAGTCACTGTTTCCTCATAATTGAAATGTAATTACAGAGCTATCCAAATTGTCTGGGAACGGCCTCATAGCAGAGCGGGATGAGAAATGGAAGTGGAATTGTATTGTTAACCAACACTCCAGAGAAATTGCATGTCGCTCCGATGGAGACTGAAGTGCATATAAATTAGGTCAATGGCATCCAGAGGTGAAGGCTGAATGACGGCTTACTTGTAACGTATAGAGAGCATGTTAATTACTTCTTTGACATCGCCGCCCTCGGCAGAAGCTGATAAAAATTGTGTTGTGCCGACTTCTGACCCGTCATAGAGAGTCAAGAGTGTCGGAAACCAAAGATCAGGACCCCGTCAGTGAACAAAAAAAAAAAGGGAAAAACTCCCGAGTGGATATTTATGAGGCCTCCCACCTTTCTTACATTTAGCTCTCAGCTCTGTGTAACAATAGTGGCTGATTCTCCACAGCAATAGAATTCACTGAAAATAACTTTATTCCATTTTATTTTAAATGCAATGCAAAGGTATTGATACCTTGTGAATGTCCAAATAAAAGCCAAATCAGAGAGAACACAAACTGGTAAAAAAAAAAAAAGAAATGGATTGTTGATGATTAAAGTCTAAAGTGGATTTCGTTCTGGATTTTGATTGGGCCGTTCTAAACTAGCGGCATGCATCACCAAATCGTCGAGGATTGGCTCTTAAATCCTGGATCTTTTGGTTTTCATAAACATTTACCAGTTTATTGACCTGTATTCACCTACAGTACATCCATTTTAACTCTGCTTCTGCTTCTCTTTCCCCAATCCCACAGGATGATGCTGCCACCATCAATTATGTCAGGAGGTTAGGAAGATTACTCCAACTTTCTAATTTTGGATTATATAAGTTTAAAGCAATGGTGTAACTTTTAGCCACTAGCAGGACGAGATCGGTAACTTCCATGTTTACACCAACTCAAATTAAACCCAGTGCAGCTGTGGTGCAGGCATCCAAGGAACCTAAATCATTCAAATCAATGCTTACACTCACATATGCCACGGTGCAGTGTGGATGTTGTTATAGATGCAGATGCGGATCAACAATGTCTTTCCAAAACAAAAAACTAAGCAAAAAGAGCAGAAATATTGCAAAGTTTAAGCCTGTCGAGGTATTTTTGCATTATAGGAAGCTGAACAGAACCTTTCAGAATCATGTGCATTTGATAGAAATTAAATATTCTCAGATGGAATAGGAATTCTTAGGTGGATTCTAAATTTCACAAAAAAAAACAGGTGCCAGACAAAAAAAAATGTCAAGGTGAATTTGAAAATAAAATCAAATTAGGTTATTTTGACCAGAAAGAACCAAAAGGCAAAAGAGAAACAGAGGAAGTGTCAGACAATGAAAGGAATATTTACGTGCTCTGATAACGGGTTTTTCCCGACAGCTTCTGGAAAAAGCCTGAACTATGACTTTTTTGCAGCACACTTGCTCTGCAACTGCACAGCAGCTGCAGCATAATCCGAGTGTTGGCACCCCTTAAAGCAACTGATAAAAGCACTCTGTCACTACATTGGATAGTCCCCCTCTGTTTTTTTGAAATTTGATGGCAGACCAGAAGATGATGAAGTCATGGAGTGACTTGTAAAGACAAGCCAGTATTCACCCCCTCAGAGAACCAGAAACATGTCTGATCAGTCTCATATGTCATTTGTTAGCCAAAGACAACTTCAGTTTAGTTAGCTCTTGTGTTTAAGGGAAGCTCAGATGGTGTAGAAATGAACTCTGGGGCACATGAGTGATGGATTCAACACTCCTGAGCTTCATGGTAGAGTTTTTGAGTAGTGCAGCCCACAATAAGCATCGACATCTGCAAAGTGCTGCATATTGACCTGAAGAATCATCAAGTAAAACTTAAATTAAGCAAACGATTCAGTCAAAAGTTTTGCAGCGTAGCTTTAAACTTTGGAAAACTGCTCAACCTAAACCTGCTTTAAACTTCAACTTAAAACCTGACCTGTGATACTCACAGAAGATTAGACTTAAAGCAAATAACAAAGTGGTGGGTTCTGGAGTCAAATATTAGCTTTAGGGTTATCAGATTAAAAAAAAAAAAAAAAAAAAAAAAAAAAGGCGTTACAATAATAATTTTCCTTGAATGAACTAATTCTGAACCATTTTGTGTGGGTCCATTATGTAAAAACCATGAAAAAATTGCATTGAAGTTATCTGCTTAGTTGTGTCAAAACCCTAAGGAGTGATAAAGGAAACACAAAACTTTAGTCATTCCAAACTAATGTTATTTAAATGGAGCTGAAACTACTAAAATATTCCATAATCCAATCTGAGTTAGATCCAGTTATACACATCCTAATCCAAATCAAAATACAATTGATTGGTAGTTTGAATACATTCTGAATTTACTGGAATATATAGAAAGAGAAAAATGTCTCTGTAAAGCCAATAAGCTGTAGATCTATACTTCATCTTTATCAAAAGTCCAGGAATTTATCTGCTCTAGAAGAATCCCTGCCACCAAAGGCAGGGAACACAGAAAAGACCACAAGTTGCATCACACAGCGTCAATATGACCTCGGTGAGGGGTTCAGACTTCAGTGTCGGTGTCACGGCGTGCTGGCAGAACGCTGGCGGAGAAGAATGGATGAGAGGCAGATATGTCAGCCCGAAAGCCGCCTGTGTACGACGCCGAGAACGGCTGCCTTTGTTCCTTCCTCTGTTCTTGATAAATGTTTGTTTTAGGCGGCTTTACATAACAAAAGATAAAAAATACCACTCAGTATTGTCAACTCCTCATTTCATAGTCATCAAGCCCATGACACTCATTCTCCCTCACACACACACACACACACACAACTCATAATAGAGCTGTAATTATGGAGCTGTCAGGGAATCTATAAGAAAAGCCAGTTAGGGAGGAACTATCACATCCTCTTCTCTCACACTCGCTGCTCTTAATCAGAGCTGACTGACGACACACACACACACACACACACACACTTTAATAAAGCATTTATTGGTAAAACATTATGCAGATATTTCTAACGAGGGCCACATGCATTATTACCAGCAAACACACACCTGAACGGCACCTACCGGCTCTAGAGCTCAACACACACTCTCCGGCGCATTAGTGGGGCGCAGGGTAAACACAAAGCTATTATTTCACACTCCTCTCTGCAGTTTAATTATCACATGCTGCTGCAAAAGCATAAACAAGGAAAGCTCATTAACGGCGCATGCATCACGGTGACAGATCTGAGCTAGCTGCCAAGCAGAGGGGAAGGGAGCGGAACTACTTTAGACAATGTTAAATTACACTAATGAACTTGCTCTTCCTAATATTAGCGACTTCGGCAAACACAAACGAGGAAGGGGTGTGATGGCGGTGGTGATGTAGCGGAGGGTTATTTGTTATATGGCAGGCAGAAAAGAGGGAGAAATATTGAACGTTATTAAATAAGGAGGAAAAGTTGAAGGGGAGAAGTTAGGAAGTTGAACCTTATTACTCATGGGCTGCTGTCGGGCCGGCACAGTGCTGAGCGTGCTGAGTGGGGTTGTTATCAGGGACTGGGGAAGTTTGAGGATGACAAGACTCATAGACACTGATTGACTGATGAGTCTTGTCCTCCAGCCTGGTGTTGGTTCAAGTTTTAAAGGAATAGTACACCCAAAACATGATTAGCCTTCATTTTCTACTCACCCCCATGCTGAACAACACTCTGGAGTACTTTTTTGATATCTCAAATGCATCTGGAGATCTGGGAGGCTTCTTGCTGTCTGCTGACATTCAAATAATGGAGGTGCCCAGCGCCCGAGGCAGAAAGGTTCATAAAAGTCCACAAAAAACGTTTCAATATTCCTCCATACTGCTCGTCCAATGTATTCCAAGTTTCCTGAGTGGGTAGCATCCAGAATTTACTCGAAACGAAGTCATTTAGAATGTTTTTAGAGCATAAACAGTAGTGTATAGGATTTCCTGAAAGCGCGCACATGCCCGATCACGACGCTACGGAAGCCGGCAGAACAAACCAGCGCATTCAGCTCGGCAAAGAACTCATGCTCTTCCTCAACACTGAAGTCCTCAGACATTTTTATTTCATTGTTTCTTTCTTTGCACAGGTAAACAGCACATTTCTTCTTCTACGCTTGCATTATTGGCAGAGTAGACGCTTAATGTGCACTTTCATCTGGTTTGGTCTGCCGGCTTCCGTAGCGTCGTGAACACGCATGTGCGCGCTTTCAGGAAATCCTTTACACTACTGTTTATGCTCTAAAAACATTCTAAATGACTTCGTTTCGAGTAAATTCTGGATGCTACCCACTCAGGACACTTGGAATACATTGGACGACCAGTATGGAGGAATATTGACACGTTTTTTGTGGACTTTTATGGACCTTTCTGTCTCGGTCACCATAGACCTCCATTATTTGAATGTCAGCAGACAGCAAGAAGCCTCCCAGATCTCCAGATGCATTTGAGATATCAAAAAAGTACTCCAGGGTGTTGTTCAGCATGGGGGTGAGTAGAAAATGAAGGCTAATCATGTTTTGGGTGTACTATTCCTTTAAGAAGAGGCCATAGTGATGGCCCTGCTTCTCCTGTGGATGGTTGGACAGCAGGAGGTCAAAGATTATAGAGTGAGGCACTCTGGTTACTGCTGATGAGGCCCATTCTGCCCAGCTGACACTCTTCTCTGTCGAACATGTAATTACAGGTAGATATTTTATTCCCCCCTTTCAAATTTCATCTTCCATTCGTCATCCAGCCCTCGAGGTCTTTTGACATATTTCCTCCTTTATTCTTTTCCAAACCTTCAATTGTGGAACAATTTTTCAGT